TTGCATTTCAACTTTACCTATTGATAAGATAATTTGTGAGCAAGATATAAACTATTCTTGAAGATGAAGATGTTGGTAAAGTGGAATACTGGTAGGATTTTATGAAAATGTAGCTGAAGGTTAACTGAAATTATTTATCTCATTTCAATATCCATGATTAGCTGAAACTTTTACGTCTCCATTACATTTAATCAGTTCATTTCTGCCTGTATGGAAGATCAGATTCAGGTTGAAACTTGAAATATAAAATATTTTCCCCATTATCTGTGAATCAGAACATTATTGAAAGCGGCAATGTGTAAGAATAAGCACTGCCTGAAAGTTACACTAGGGAGGATGAAAAGCTAGCAAACAGAAAGGCTTTTTACACCTTGGAAGTCAAAACAGAGACTGAGCTTTTTCAGTGCCTGGTTTTGCTTAGTTTGTCCTATACAGAATTACAGGAAGAATTTCATTCATTTGTAAAGGATGTTGAACAGCACAGCATGCTCTAAGTGGCTGAAAATGCTGCCTATTTATTTAAAATGTGATTAACACTCTGCAGACTCAGGCTATCCAAATCCTGATGATTAATTGAACCTCATGTAATTTTCTTATTGTATTTGCAATAAACCAGACTCTAAAATCTTACAGTAAAATACTTAATCATTCTTACCTATACCTCAGCAAGTCTGTGATTCTTTGTAAGGGGATGCTGTAGCTAAAAGCTTGTAGCTCATCTAGGCCAGGCTCAGAGAGGAAAGTACCCCGGGCTGAGAAAGTTTAGAAAATTTAGCGTAACTTGAAAGTCTTGTTTCTTCATGAGATCTGGAGTAGTCTTGCTACTGGTATGGCACATATACAGATTCTGTTAAATTTCCTGGATTCATTTGAGTGAACCTCCCTTAAAACAGATCTATCTTTTGAATATTCTGCTGCTCCCCACTGCTTATGAACTTTATACTACTTTGGTTCTCAAATTCGTAGCCAGTCTATTTTAGGGTAGCTTAGAGTAAATTAATGGGTGAGAGTTCACCACTGTCAGTGGGAAAGTGACACACAATTATTTGGAGCTTTGGGCACCCATGGACACCATTCCTGTCAATTTAAAACAGAGGGGTCACAACAACATTTGAAAACCATGGCAGACTTAACCTTAACTGGGAGGTACTTTGATAACAGTATAAACTGATTCCTCAAAGAGTAGTATCACCCCTTTAGACACAGCCCTTTCCTGTTCTCAGATAAACACACTTTCAAAAATTTTGGTGTGTTGCCACTGACAGTGCTCATGTGAATGACATCCACGGACCTTTGGCTGCTGTGACAATGGCACAAAGTATACAAAATCAAGTAATGCTTTATTCTACCAGACAGTAATAAGCATGTAATTATATTGTAATTAAAAAGCAATTATTTACTGGCAACTATTGAAGACGTCTTTAATGATAATTCTGAGTGTGACTACCATGTAATTTGTAGAGAGGAATAAGTGTGCAATTACCCTGTTAGTAACACAGCAATTACCAAATACATCCATGCATCTTTCTGTTTTCTGACATGGAGTTACCGACACCTGCAAAGTGTAAATTACATGGCAACTACACATGCAGCTGCCAGGTGATGTACAGTAGAATGAAAAGATGGCAGATATCATTTCAGAATTAGGGTTTGATTCATTAATGTAAAACTGGTGTAACAGATTAAAGAACAGAGATCAAATCTGAAATAAGACAAAGTCACGGGAATCCACAGAGCTTGAGAGAGTTATAAATGTGCTGTGAATCAACCCCAAATCTTTGTGTAGAATTGTGGGTACAATAAAATATATTGTCACAAGTCTGGAATTAGTGGTTAATCCCTTTCACATGAACTGATTCTATCCTATTCAAAAGAGAGAGTTTCTATTGTTTCTGTCTCGGGTTCCTATCACAGAGAAGCAACAGAGACTTGCTGTACATGGAGCCTCATATGTCAGCTTCCCACCTCCCTCTTATGTCAGTATTCCAGTGACATTCCCAAATAATGGGTTTGACAGAAGGTGGGCTCTGAGCAGAGGAACTTACCAAGTGAGTGGGAAAGCAGAAGCAAAAGCCCCAAGGCAAGATATGTCATAAACATTTCAGAGAAAACACTAAATACATTAATTTGAAGCAAATGATGTATCATTTTATGGCTGGTGTAGGCTACATGCATTCTTGTGACACAAACCCCCATTCTAACAAAGTTATTGTTTATTCCACATAAATATAACCTTAGTCTTAGGCACGAGACTTGAAAATAGATCGACGACTTAAGTACTCAAAGCTAAAGATACATTTATCTACACTAGCACACACATCATCTCAGTTTTTAAACCTGTACATCTAAATCACATCCAGAACACCAGAAGATCCCTGCCAAATATTACACTAAAGCACATGCAGAGTTTAATTTTAAAAAGTCTTGGCAACTGAAAATTAGTATGAGCCCTAAGTGGTCAAAATATTCAGTCCAATTTTATGCAACAGCCTACAATAAAGAGCTGTGGCTTATTTGAGGCTTATTTATAAGTAATTTATCTAAAATTAAAATAGTCTTTGTTTTCTTTAAAGAAAGAATGAAAGGAAAAGAAAAATATAGGACTGCAAAACCCTTCTGAATCATAAATTCTAAACCCCAGAGAAGAAAGAAACTAATCCAGTGTGATGTGAGACAACACACTGCCATGCTGGAAGTATTTCTCTCTGTCTGTAGTCCACTTCTCTTTCTTGGTCTGGGAAACCAAAGTTCAGCAACAAAACTAAGTGTGGCTATTATTTACTTAACCCTCAGATTTCATTTATTACTATCATATTACTTAGACTTTGCCATCTCATTTTATATGCCTGCTAAATTTCTTCAGCAGTGCCAGAAAACAGACACTTAATATTTAGAACAATTCATTTGATGTTCTGTCATCCATCAAGATTTACAGCAATACTGTCCCAAGATGCCTGAATCCTATATACAAAACACAAAGCTGTTGATTACAAAATAGGATGATGAAAGGGGGCTGGAGTGTCTTTCTAGAAAGTTTAGGAGGAAAATGTGAGTCATCTTAAAGCACTTATTTTGAAGAGAAGCAGGATAAGCCCTTCCTTTCACATCTCTGATAATTTAGAATAATATAGATAATTAAAGTTTTCTCCAACAGCTATACTGTGGGAATGCTGTAATCCTTCTTTGTCCACACATAGTGTTCCAGGGTGATTAATTGTTAATTGACAAATGTCAGTATACCCTGGAGCATATTTTGCTGAAAACATACAGCCAATGATGGCCATTAATTTTTTCTTCTTGTTTGCAAAATCTCACTGAGAGACATTCATGTCTCATAATTTATCCAAGGGTTTCTAGAGAACAATAGCTTGCATCCTAGATGCTGGCACTCTATTAAAACCTTGAATTAGGTATAAAGAAGGGTGAGTGTTTTGTCTGAAAGACTGGATTCCACTAAGACAGTGCCTACACATAAATAGATGACTATTCATTTGTTCAGTCAGACATGTGCCTAAATGTGATGGAACTGAGACCAGAGGGTGATCTGGTCACAAGTACTCTGTGTCTGCTACTGATGTAAATTAAAATTCCATGCAAAAAAAAAAAAAAAGAAGAAATAAAAAATAAAGAAATAAAACTCTAAAAAACAACAACAACAGCAGAAAAAAATACACCCAGAATAAAACCCCCAAAACACCAGCCTGGTTTATTGAACTGACTTCCTGTTGTTTTGTTACCAAAACAACTAGAAAGACTATTAGGCCATGGTGTGGGCTTTTAATGACAATAGAGCTATTGCCCAGTTCCTGTTGCTTTGTTGTATCATTGTTACAGTCCAGTGGTTGCATTTCAGCTGCAGTGTTTCTGGAGTTGATGTGGAGGCTGCTGCTTCTGAAAGCATCTACAAAAAATAAAACCTCTTTTGCCAATAATGGATATTGCTGTAGCAGTGTAAATGGAGAGGTCAAAGCCTGTGAACATGGAAACATGGTAGTACAAAACAAAACAAAACAAAACAAAACAAAAAAATAAACAAAAGAGGATAAAATTGTTTTTAGTTCTACATAACTATTCTATGTGGGTTCATTATTTTTATTAAAAAAATTAGTCAAAACAGATGTGGATACACATAATACACATAGCTAGATTTGCATGCATGTTTAGCATTTGTGATTATTTGGACTGACAGTGTCTGCATGGTTTCTTTAGGTTGTTGAATAAAGGTCAAAATGCGTTACTGTGCTCCCAGTCCTAGAAGTTTGCTCCCAGAACTGTACTGAGGAAACTCACTCCTCAGTTGTCTGCTTTTTTGCCTGTTAGAGACAACAGAAACCTTCATTCTCTGGAGCTGTCATTCTCATATCTTTCATGTGTGCTAAACTCACTAGAAAAAATATTTCAGATGAAAACAATAGAAGTGCTCCATAACTCATACACAGTAATTGGTGTCCTGATGAAATCTGGGGCCTTATCTTGAATTCCTAGCACATCTTATGCTTGCCAGGGCATATTACAAGGAATGTGGCACAACTGTTTGTTGCCGATATAATTGTCGATCCAGATGTACAATCTTCTTATTGTTTACTCTCATAGCATTTATAGATATGTTTAAATACATATATATGGATGAAAATTTCAGTCTAGACAAGTAATGAATAAAGAGCTTCTGAATCTTTTGAGGATATTTTTCCCCTTTTTAGATAAAAGACCCTATTTTTTCTATTTTAAGTAACAAGACCTAAAAAACCTTAAATGGCATTATTTAATCTTAAAATAGTCTGTATCTTTTAATAGGTATAGATAAATAAACAACTTTATTTTAATGTTTATTTTAATGTTTTAAGAGTTTAAAAACCCTTAAAAAGCATGATGGACATCTACCATATGGGCTTTTGGTATTTCTCCTACTTGAAGCAAAAAAATCAGCCCTTCTCTGGCTACAAACTGCACCCTACTGTGTTACTTAAAAGCACAGCAGAAATTTTAGAGGTGGCCTAAACTGTGATTGTGCTTGGAAAATAATTCCTCTAGGATATATATCTGTATGATCTTTACCTTGAAAATAACCAAAAGGTACCAAGTTCAGGAAAGTTGTATGTGCTTATCTTGGAATCCAGAAGTCATCACAATGGCATGATTTTTGGATACAGGTTTCATGCATTTCTGCGGTAGCCAGAAGGTGGATGAAAAGAGTGTGAAGTGGGGTTGGAAGGTGCCTGTGGTACACACAGAGGGAATCCTGCATCCAATGTGTAGAGGTGACAGAAAACTGGAGCACAGCAATCTTCCACTTGAGTTGTATGTGTTCTGCTCAGTGGCTTTCCTGCAGGGAACTCACCATGTGTCCAAATACTAGATTTTGTCACTGGCAAAATACGAAAGAGAAAAATGGTCATTTCAGAGGTCTCAGCTGCTCTGGTAGAAACAAGTAGTAATTCACATTGTCTGAAAATGTCTCTGTGGGTGGAGAAGGGAAAAACAACAACCAAAACACAGCTCCTTTTCCATTTTTTGATCAGCCCAAAATTTAATGCAAGATTCATCAAGTATAACTCAAGCTTCTCCTTAAGCACCTGCAGTTTTATGCCTCTGGGATCAACTTTGTTAGGAAGCCCAGTCATCAATCCAGCCTGTGTCTTCTCGAAGATGACATTTTTCTTCTATATCTTTCATCAGTTCTGGAAGTCAAATCTTGCTCTTCCCAAGAGTGCTGTTCCTCAGGCAGGAAGGTATACTATAAGGAAGCCTTCACAGACTAAAGGAATTTTGGAGGGAGATGGGGTGCAGGGGCATAGGAACATTGAATAGCTCCAGGAAAAGGGCTATAATGAATACAAAAGCCATTGTTCTTAGGATCAGATATCTGTCATTGAACTTCAAAGGAATTTTTATTATTATTATTATTATTGTTATTATTATTATTGTTGTTGTTGTTGTTGTTGTTATTGTTATTGTTGTTGTTGTTGTTTAGTAATAATAGTAATAATAGTAATAATAGTAATAATAGTAATAATGTGGTGGTGTTATTATCATCTTTATTATCATTATAAATAGGTTAATCAGATATGCTAAAATAAGAGCAGACCTGAACTCCCACTGAGCCTTTTTTGAGTTTTAAAAAAAGTTAATAATTTTGTTCATGCTTTTTTCCTCCATTCTTCCTACATACAAGTCAGGAATTGTCTGTTATACTACCAAACATTTATATTGCTGGAGCACAGAGAAAACACCTGTGTCCTTACATTTCCTAAAGGAAAAATAAGCTATATCACAGTTTACATCACTCAGCTGTGTATTTTGCTTAGCATTTGTATATAAATTTAAGCATAAATGAGAAGCTTGTGACCATATCTTTGTTTGAAATGTGACCACATATAGTTCACTATACTTTTTCAAATCTGTATGTGTCATTTCATTATTTCTAGCCTATTCAGACTCAATTTCTTATCCTTTCCATTATCTCCCTGGGAAAAAATGGATGAAATTGGGTCACTATTGTGCTCATGTCATCCCCTGGGCTGCTGGACACCTGGGTTTTTAGGACACTGTAAAATGACAAATTTAGCAAACTTTTATTGCTTTTTATGTCCAAATTCAATATCTTCAAGATATTTCCCAATATAACAACCACAATAGAATGAAGTGAGAGGTATTTAGAGCTCTTTTTCAGCTGATACTTCCCAGCTGCTTCTGTGGAACAGCAATTTGATGCCTTCCAACATCAAACTTCTCTCTCAAAGAGAGCTACAGGGTCACATCTAAGCCCACTACACAGACAATAATATTCTTCCTTGTCTCTACATTTGAACAAAACCGGTGAAATCGTAAGTCTCACATAACACAACAATTCCATATCCCATTGAATCATAATAGAAGAGTTTGGTTGGATTTGGTTTGGTTTGTTTTGCTTCCTTTTTTTAGCTTGCTTTTAAGTGTGATAGGGAGCTTACAGTGAACTGGCTTTAAGTACAGTTTGCTTCTTCAGACCCTGGTCTCATGGCAGGGTTTTAATTTTACCAACATGCAAAGGACATTCATGCATCCTTCAATATTTTACCAAACAATTCTCAACAAAGGGTTAAATAACCCATTTAAACAAAGGGTTATTTAAACTTTCTTTACCTATATTTGGAAATATTTTAAATAAAATTCAATCTATACCTAATATTCATCAAATTAATTGAACTTTGAGTGTCTTTGAAACTAAAGGGTGTTAATATACTGCAAAACAAACCAAATTAATTTTAAGGAAGTCATTGCTTCACAGGCATTTGGATTTGCACAAAGTCATGTGAGGCCCTGTTTTGCTGGAGTTTACATTTATAAATGTAAGTACTTGAAAAGAGTAAGACAAGACAACTCACAGGTGTGTTTTCTTTTGCTTGTGCACTTATATATAGCAAGTTCTTGTTTTGAAGGGTTATAACTGGTAGAAGATTTCATTTACAGCTAGAGCACCTGAATAAGTGACATTCAGAAATGTAACCTTCCTTCCTGTCACAATTCCATTTCATTTCAGGTTAAATTATATCAATTCTTGTAGAAACTTTTAAATCAACAAAAGTAGGAACAGTGGGCATTAATTTACTTTATAATGTTTATTCAGTGATCCAGGCACTTCTGCATAAACCAATATATATTATTTGAATAACTTATAACAGATGGTTCATATTTCCCTGAAATAAAAAAACCAATAAGAATAAGCCTGCAAACTCAAACATTATGAGCAGATTTTCTAAAAGGGAAAAATCATGTTATCCTCAAGCCCCAAGCTTTCAGAGAGCTGGAAAACCTGCAATCAGGAGGCCACAGTATGCACAGGCCTGTCTTTCCCTATCTGCTACAGAGCAAAAACAGCCTCTGTTGCAATTAGAGAAACACAGCACTCAGGGTCGCCCTGGCACTGATGACCTCTGGCATTGTCACCACCACACGGTGCCTAAATGATGTTAACAGGAGTGGACAGCGTGCATTCAAAGCACCAGCAGTTCATCGGCATTGCGCAGCAAACACCCAGGCCACCATCAGCTCGACACCAACACTTCCACCCCCTCCTTCCCAACTGGTTCAGCTCCACTGATAATAACTACAACAGGAAGTTTTTGGGGAAAAAATACACACTGCTTAGGAGCTGAAAAAGAAATTCCTCTCTTCTCAACTATGTGGGTTAATGCCTAAAATTAGAATGCAAAAACTACGCTACCGAGCACAGAATGACTGAAAAGGCCCCTGTACAAGAGAGTGAGATCCCTGCCATAATTTAAATATGGCTCCAAATTGATGAGTAGATTTCATCTGGGTTTTTTTGCTCTGGGTAATAATACAGTGAGAGGTAGCCAGTGAATCAGACTCTGGTATTACCAATTACTATGGTCAGTTACAGCTAAGCATGCAATCACTAAAGATTAAAAGACACATGGTTTTAGTTTGAATGGAACATTGGTAGAGCATAAATGACACATTTTATTAACAGACTATACAAAATAAAGCAGTGTATTGACATGAACACATACAAGATAAGGCAAGAAGGACTAATTTACGCCTTATCTGAGAGAGGTAGGGTGTTAGTGAAATTTAGAAAGAAGAAACTTGTGCTGTGACAGATAATGTCTAAATATTAGGGAAAATTAAGAGCCTCTTAATTCATTTAATGATATCTTTACCATATAAGTTTTCAAAAAGTACTTTTCCTTTTATCTTTATTTTAGACTCTTGGTGGAATAAAAGCTTCTTGGCTGTAACTGAAACATCTGAAAGCTGATTGCTTTGGGAAAACAATGAAATTTGTGGTTTTATCAGTCATGATAGAAGCAACAGAGAAAGAGAACAGGTATTTTTCAAGGAGAAAACGGTGTTAATACAACTTGCAAAGGAAGAATCTGCATCTTATCAAGTAATAGAAACACATTCCTCCACATAAACCTCAGCACTATAGTTTAATTTTGTGACAGCATTCATTTGCTGTAATAGCTTATCAGCCTCCAGCTGCTCTACTGGGATATTGAGACTTCAGCTTTGGTAAGAATGGCAAGGCACACGAAAAAACAACAAAGGAGAACAGTTAAATGTCTGTCAAAGCAGGTCACAGAGATACATCTGTCCTCTTTAAGGTAGGATTGGAAGTAAGGAAGTGTGGGAAGTGAGTTCAAATTGGAAAGTTAGAAAGCTGACATTGATGTGGTCACCATAGGGATTCCTAAGACTTTCTAGGCTCTTGTAATGCAGTGGTCCAGTGCAACGTAAGTTCTGAAAAATAGAGGAAGTAATCCTGAGATTGCAGTGTCTTGCCACACCATTTATTGTTTTTAATGAAAGAGGGAGAGAGAGAAGCACAAAAAGGTATTTTCCAAAATCGTGACTCAACAAACCACTTACAAAACTTTCCAAGCCCATTGCTTAAACCTGATGACCCTGGATCTCCTAGGACAGTGATGAAATGACCCAAATGCAAGGACTGTTGGTTTCTTACAAAATAAGATGTAAGGGTTACATTTCTTGCAGCCTGGCTTTCACTTGAAATCTTAATTTTAACAACTCTTACCCTGTATTGATCACTTATGCCTTTACAGTTCAATTAGAGTTCTGTATATGGCCATTGCTCTTAAAGAATAGTGTCCACAGCTGCTATCCACATGCTTTTAATCACAGGAAGAACATTCATCAACCGTACACTGAAATTGCTAATTTTTTTTCTCAGTTCTTGTCATTGGTAAGATAAATGAAGCCTCTCTAGTCTTCAGCCTTCCTTCAATTGATAACAGGCTACTTAAAAAGAAAATATTAAACCTTGTGTGAAAAATCTTCTGATTCAGATTAAAGAAGCACTTAATAGCTTACCTTGCCTATAGCAAACACCTCCGGAGGAAAGGAAGAAAAGAGTGCAACAAGACAAAAACTAGTTTTTATTGGCTTTTAAGCTGCTGAATGTAACAAGGCACTGCAGCACTTTCATCAGCCATCAACATCTTGGCTCTGGGGTAACAGACCTTTGATAAAGAGAGAATTCTCCCCAGCCAAATAATATCAGAAAAAATACGCAGGGAAGTTCACTTCAAAGATGATCTGCTGGTGCTGAATTTTAAGGAAACTGTCTTGTAACTTGTCACTGTTTCACAGAGCTTTTACTCATCATGGTAGCTGGGTTGATAGATAACCCATCAGTGGTTTCACAACAGCTCATGGGCCATGTTTGATAGGAAAAAGCATTTCAAAAACATATGCTAAGATACTAGTAGAGTCTCTAGTTACATTTTGCTGGCATCTCAGTCCACTGTACTATGACATCTACACTTGTGAAAGACAGTGTGATAAATCTCAACTGTTCTTTTCCTAATGGGAAGATATGGTGATAGGCTGTCTTTCCTAAAGCTACAGAGCTAGATTTATGATTAATTCACTTTAGTATTACAGTTTTATGTTTCCCTGAATATATACAGAAGGGTAATATACGTATAAAAAAGTTTGCATAATTAACAACTTAGATTAATATAGTTTAAACAAAAGCCACAACAACAGTAGCTTCTCACAAATTAATGATACAAAATACAAGACTCCAATTTATAAATCAACTCTAATCCACATCAGTAATATCCAAAAGCCATCACCAGCTGATGGCTCTTTAGTGTTTCTCTGACAGCTATATCCCCAGGACAGGCTGAACGTCACTGTTTCCATCTGGTGGAAGCAACACTGGATGAACAAACGCTAATTTAGTTCTCACATGCACTGACACTAGCGTGAACCAGGATGAAAACTACATTTTAAAAATTTAGCAAATCAAAGGCAAGATCAAAAATACATTGCTAGCCTCCAGGGCTACCACTAGAAGTACTCATTAATTCAGTGTGTTTCTAGAATTAGGCTTCTGTGGGACTCCCTGCTTATCCCTAGCAAATAAGGAGGTGTGTAACCAAAATCAGTGGTGGAACTTATATGCTTCAATCTTGTTGTATTCAAAAAAACACTGATGCAGACTCATGGCTTAAGAATTCATATTAGTTCATCTTTTCTGACGTCCTTCTAAATAAGAACTTCCTTCTCTTTTAAATCCAGACATCTTTGTTATGAGAGAGTCTGCATTGAAAAGTACCTCTATTTACCCCTTTTTTCTGTAAATAGAAATGGTGACTCACCACCATAATTTAACAGGAATCTATTGTAAAATCACCCTTGTTGAACATTCTTTCACTTGACCCATCACCCAAAGAACAAAAAAAAACTTCCAAGAAGGAAATATCCATTTCTTCTTCTTGAAGTTGCCCAAGGGCTCACAGCTTAGGCTGAAGTTCATGGTATTTATGCGTGCACACTAAGCCCTCATCTCTAATTGGATCCCCATTTCAACCAGTTCCAAATTGTAGCCTGAGACACGAAGGCGAGTAGCAGCTCCTCAGTTCTCTCTGGATATGCATACACACAGTCCAACTTATAAATAAAGAAACAGAAAGATAAGGTGCCCTTAAATGGCATATAAATCAATGCATTGTGTGTCAAACCTCTCTGGGTTGCATATTTGCATAATGTAGTATTAGCTATATAATCAGCCTCTTTTAATTATTTATTTTCCCCTCCCCCAGAGAGCCAAAGCGATTCTTTCTCACAGCAAGCCTTATTAAATGTACAGAGATTCCCAAAGCTGTGCCACAAAGTGATTTCTGCATACAAAGCAATACTTTTTGTATAACATACTATGAACATCGAAGAAGATGGTTCCACAATAAACATACATATCATTCCACACGTTTGTACTCTCTAGACACATAAAGCACACAACAGCCACACCTTTTCTGCTACACGTATCTAAATTCTGCCTACTAATTCTACTACACTTGTCCAAATTTATCTCTGCTCTAGATAGTGGCAAACAAAGGCATCCTTCTATACACCCTTGACAGTTCAAATATATATAGAAACCATCTTTTTTGTGGGATACCTCATGGCTACCATTTTAGGACAAAGTGGAAGCACCTTGACTGCACAGCTTTGAATTCCTAGTCTTCCTATTCCTCATAGGTGCATGAGAACTTTTACTACCAGCTGTAAAAATCAGATGACTGTTGATTGCTCTCAGCTGTAATTAGCACTGAATATACCGGATTGCCATGATCACTCAGAGGCGGACAATGTCCACGTTACTCAATTCATCATGGTGGAGGGATATTCCCCAGCAAGGTCATCATTAAAGTGGTGAGAAATCTAAAAAGGGGACAATGCTCCTTTTGGCTGTTTGGGGGTTTCTTTCACACCTTCCAACATCTTTGAAATTTCTCCGATTTAACAGGTGATGAAATTTCCACTTGAACATTGAACACTGATGTTGTGCTAAACAAGGAATCTTAGTAAATTTTATGTTGGTCATCAGGCCAGGAAACATGTAGATCCACATCCAGTAACTTCTAGAAAACTTCATAGATTCAATCAATAATAAAAGCTCTTTGTCAAAGTGCCTTTTTTTTGCAATGCATTCTCAGGCTTGGCACGCATAATGCACTTGAAATATTTCAGGATTCACAAAATTTTGGGGAAGGGAATTAGCCTTTCACAGAAAATGAAAGAATGTTTTTCCACCTTTCAGTGCCTGTGTAGTGTGGAAAGAAAGGTACACCTTACTAAGTTATGACATCAAGCTATCAAAACAGAAATCAACTCTTGCCCATTAACACAATATGTTGTACCATCACTGCCATCCTATTCTCTTTTGCTGTACACCTTCCTTTCTCCCTAACATCCAATATCCTTTTGTGTCAAGACTGAAGAGAGAGAAAAGAATTAACCATATGAATATGCACTATTGTATAATAACCTGTTAACTTTGCTTAGCAAAAACCTCTGCTGGAAGTTTTGCTGGAGAAAGGAACACAAAACTCAGCCCTCAGCAGTGACACTTCCTACTAAAATAAAGTATTGGACTCAGCAGATGATCTTCAGAACATGATTAACAGCTTGACATGTCTTGGCAATTCCAGGAAACTGAAAACTTATTAATCTGACTGCACAGCCTAATGTATTTGTTTTTCATAAGACGTATGTGCCCCAAGAGATGCAGTTTCTATTTCAGTATTTTGCTGTATTACTCAAGTGAACACACCTCTCTAAATTCCTTCAGCTGTCTCATTGTCCTTTGGAACTCAGACACATTTCCCACATAAATGAGTCAGTACTTACCTTAGAGATGCCAGTACAGAAAAAGGAAGGTACACTTCTGACTGATGTGGTAACTCAGGACATACTGTTTTAAGATCTGAAAACAGGAAGATGAAATGTATTTTTATTTTTAGTTGAAAGTGACCTTTCAAGGTACCAGTTATTCCTTCAGGTACCTTCAAAATGTGACTTCTCTATTGTATAAGTTCTCTTCAATAATCCACCAATACTCAGTAGCTCTTCTTTGGGGGAAGGAGGGAATTAAAAGTCTTGGAAAATATCAAATAAAAATGAGAATAAGGTCTTCTTCCAAAATGTTTTTTCAAATTTATGGAATACACTTCACCAGAATCACTTATTTCTAGACTGTATTAATATTCTTGACTATGTACTGAAAATCAAAACATAAACCACCAGATTATAACAATGACATTGTTACTTTTTAAAGAATTTGGTGTGGCATAGACAAAGCTTAGTTCTTACTTGGATGAACTCTTCTTTTTTAAACCCAGTGTTTAATAAAGACAGAGAGTAGAGCAATTATTTCATCTGCAAAAATAAACAGATAGCTATTAAATAGAGCAAATATTTGGTTTTTAAAAAGAAAATGTTTTAAAATATTGCATATATTTGCAAATGTTGTACCAATTTACTTATCCTTGTTTATCTACATTATGACCAAATTTAAGATTCCCCACATTCAATTTAATATCTTGTTTTGAATTCAGAGAAGCAGCATTGAATTTTTCTAATTTGTTTACTTCTGCTGTTTTTCTTAACTGACAAAACATAGTAACTGGCTCATAACAATCTCTTCACTACTAAGGTATTAATGAGCTGAGGATGCCAGCGAAAATCTGGATGAATGGTGCATCTTATTTTCTTTGCCTTCAAGTTATGTTACAATAAAGAAGGTCAAGCTATAGTAGCTCCTTTTTCTTGCCCCACACACTGATTTTCCCTGAATTTTTTCTCAGTTTTATATTGCAGTTTATAGTGCAATCAATCAGTGCAAGACTAAGCTGATTGAAATGCATCAAAGTTGATCTATTTACAGTGGAAAATTTCTTAGGTTTTTTGTTAGTGTATTCAGAATAGTTGGGGTTTGTTATCCCATAGTATTTGTATTACTGTAACAGCAAAATTATTTAGGGTCTTGCCAGGAAAAGAAAGAAAAAACTGTTTTTTCAGACATCCTAACTCTTACACAGAAAGTTTGATAATGAGTGGAGAAAAGGAAAGAACACAAAGTGTCAGAGCAAACTATTTCCCAAATAAAAATTAAAAATAGAAGAATAAAAATGCAAAAACATGCCAATAATATTTAGTGTGTTGGTTGTGCCACAGTCAAGCATTAGCACTATGATCATAGCTGAGATGAGCAAAAGAATATTTTCTAACTTGCTGAAATTAGTCAAGTCAACAAAATAGAAGCATCAACAGCTTTGCAAACAAAATGGAACCAAAAATCCTGAGACATGAGAGACAAAAACTTCATTTATTATGTACAAAACCACTGATGTACTTGCCTTATCTGTGGCCTAAGTTATGGACAAATATCTGAATTCCTTAAACCATTTAGCTTTTTAATTCTGGTTTTTCATTCAACGTTCAAGAAATTTTTAAGTGTGGGAAGCTAATACCAAGGCGAAGTCAGGATACAGACATGACAAGTTAAAATCTCCCTTCCTTCCCCAGAAATTTCAGTGCTGAAATGACTGTAAAGCAGGCTAAACATGAGAGAGAGAGAAATGCAAGGGGGAGAAAAAGAGGAACTGGTTGGTAAGATGACCCCTCAATGGAAAAAAAGCAGTTTCAGATCTGTTGAGGAAGACTGTAAGGAAATCAAAGGCTAAACATCTTCTGCAAGAGAAAGTTAACCTTAAATTGATCTGTCCCTCCTGAGACATTATCAGGAGTAAATTCTTTTCTAAGATGTTCGGTAACAGATAAATTGATACCCATTCTCATAAATTTCACTTCTTATTATTTAGAAATTCATCATTCTCTACCTGATATTGGCACTGAGACTGTAAAATACTATCATATATCAATGAAGATATTTCTCCGAACTAATAACAATTAAAGTTGATGTGATTAACAGTATTGCTTCAGTAAAAGAAGCAAGAATGCCACTTTGAGGTAGATTATAAACTAATGAAGGTTTTCAGAAATATTTTGACCAGTTATTTCTTTTTGTTCCTCTAGGCATCATCACTGGAAAACAAAGCCCTAGGCAACAGGATTGTGTAGCAGATGGTGTCTGTTAATATAATCAATATAATCAGTAAATCCCATGCATCTATATTTTTCTGATAAGAAAATATTGACAATTTCTCAAATAAGTGAGCTGAACTTCTATTTAACCTTAATACAGTTCACTTTTTTCTAATTACTTTATTGATTTCTTTGTTGGAGTGTTGAGGATGAGGTGGGAATTTTTCTTTTTTTTTTTTTTTAAGGAACAGCATCCTAAAATAACCAGACCAATATTTCTGTGCTTAATCAAAATTGATTAAGTTTCCTTGTCTGTTTCATGTTCTTTATATATTTGTGCCATAAGCTTCCAACTAGAGATCATTGGCACATTCCTTCCAAATCAAATAGAGCTAGTACTGAGCTGGATGCAAATCCATGCTCTGCAACAGATTTCCTGTTGTACCTGACATCCAAATGTTTTAGTGGATCTGGATTGAATTGACTTGTCTCTACAGCTCATAAAATTTAATACACATCAAATTAATTGCAATGTGTCAGGGAACAGAAGAGGAATTGCTGGGGATAACTCAATGGTATTTTCCTCACATCATAAGAAGCATGAGAGGACCCATAATTATTGCTGAAATTGTAACTATTAAAAATCAAAAAAGTAAAGTTATACAAAAAGAAGAGGAAATATTTAGTATATTTTTATATATGTAAAATCTATATATTCCACATATACGTCCATGATGTATAACTTATTTTAACATCAGATTTATAAATTTTCCCTTTTTCCTCTAGTTTACAGAATTTAATCCTTTTCATAAGCAGCATTGTAACTAGGCAGTTTCTGAAAACAGAAAACAAAAATGCTAGCAGCCATGAAAAAATTCCCAGAGAGGTTCACTGAAAAGCCTTATTTAAAAAGAAAATGAAAGAAAGATCATGATAAATATACCGGCTGTAGCATAGGAGAAACACTTCCAGCATTCATTTTCCATAAAGGGGTTTGCTAAACAAGCAATGAAGCATCCAGTGAAACTGGAAAGAGAGCATTTTTTAAAATTTTAAAAGGAAATCCTCCACGTACACAAAATTCATCTGCAAAATCTTTGTCACAAGGATGACAGTTCAGCACAGGACTGAGCATCACCAAGAAGACAATGAGCAGCTGCATTTCCAGCTAATGGAGACTGCCATAACTACCTTAGTGTTTCTTATTAATCATAAGGCTTCTAAGCACTAGTGGTGACATGACTGGTTAGGATAAAAAAAGAGGGCTTCCTATAAGAATGGTACTGACCATTGAAAGTTCCTAAAGTTGTCTTTAAAGCACTTGGTAAGGGTCAATTTGTAGTATGCACAAATTTGAACAATTATGGCATGTCCAACATTATTATATTTGGAAGTCAGATATATATTTAATTTCAAATTACTACTTTGATTACTAAATTGTGGAAGAATCTTGTGTGTTTCATTTTCAAAACCTATTCCAAAATTCTAGGTCTTTTTATTTACAGGATTTACAGTATTAAACTTCTCAAAAGAAATATTTTGCATGACATGACTTTCTTCTCTCCTAGTATTATTATATTTTCTGCTCGAATTTCCTTTTATATTTATCCATCTGAACTAATGTAATGTTTACATCTGTACAAAATATGTTGGAAGAGAAGTAAATATAAGCAATTTATTTATTATATATTTATTCCTCACAGTACCCTCTTGGTTGGGACAGTTTCTATTAGTGTTTTCAAGGGACAAATAAATAAAAACCAAAATGTGTTTCTAGGATGATTTTCAAAAAATGCTACCTTAATGAGAAAATACTGATTTCTGTAACAACTACTATACAAATTCCCCATTTAAGAATTCTGGTGATGGAACTTGGGCTGGCTAGCATTTAACCTCTCCTAGATTAACCTTGAACCTGATGGCAATTTCTTTCTCCTCTTACACATACTCAGGTTATACCACTTCCCCTATTTTGTTCAGCTTAACCAGTATATTTAAATTCAACAGGCACTGGCCACTAATAGTTGCAACCCATCTGTGGCTGTGGTTACTGACAGTCTCTGGTCCCAAGCCATGATTGAATCTTTACCACCAAAACCACAAAACCCATCTCTCACCAGCTGATTAAAGAATATTGTAAGAGATAAAAAAGTAGTAGATTACAGTTATTGTGAAAAGCAAGTCACAGTCATATAAACAAGGTCAGTGTATCTTGCATTTCCCTTGATTTAGTATATTCTGATGTGCATCCTAACATTCTCTGTGGCCTTTAAGAGCTCGTGTCATTTCCTGAGACCAGCTTTATTATGAAGGCAGTTATATTTCTTGCAAATTTTGGGACTGTGATAGCCATTACTGGAGAATGGCATTGCCATCTTCTGACCAATGCTTCAGCTCCTCTCTTTCATTTACTGCTTGCATTTCACTGCTGGTCTCAAGTCACAGAAAAGTTTCACTCTTCTGGAAGCCTATGCTGCAGAGGAAAGATGGGGATTTGCTCCCTACTGACTATGTTTTCCTGAAAGCTAACAGCTTCATCACAGGCTCCTCCATGCTTTGGAGCTGGTCCCCACAGTGGAACCTATTCCTGGCTCTGTTTTCCCCCAGACAATGTGAGTTCCAAGAGATCCTTCAGGGATTGCTCTAATGGCCCTGCAATCCACTGTGAGATGGTTTTAAATGAAACAGCATTTCTTTGGCAACTCTATAGTGAAAGTGAGAAAAGAATGAAATACTGGATGAAAATAATCTTTCCTGGATGCACACTGTGGAAAACACTGCTGGGGAATGCATACCATAGAAAACTCACCTAACAGGTGCTGAAATATTAACTTGGACATGTAGCATGCTATGAGCCAGTGCCTTCCTTAGAATCTTGTC